TGCAAGGTACGAGTGATTTGGATCAACCATCCTACAAAAACATCAAAAGCCATACATCATACATGGAAAGATTTTGTCAATCTCAAATCATCGGGGAGAAAAGGATTCCCCAACACTTAGGATTCCACTATGACTATACACCTCTAAGGCTGTTCACAAGATCGGTTTACCAACAATTAAGCTCATTCCCACACAAGATACATCGAGACATGGTTCTAGGAAATTCAAAGTTCATCAAAGTTGCAATCTTGAATCTAAACCATGCCTTGATGGCCACCAACCATCATGCATAAAAGTAGATCAACATTCATTCACATATTGCACTTGTTGGGCATTTTCCAATTCAAACACCAATCATACCAAATCTTTCCCACCAAGGCTCAATCAAGCTCGTAATCACTTCATGCATCATTCAAATAACATAAATCGACTAACCCCTCACCCAATTTCAATATTCATGCAGTAATCAAAAAAACCCCTCACCTAGAACCCTAATCCTATTCTTCAAAATTGACAAGGTAAAAGTTCAAAACACACTTGGAGACTCAAGTAGGATCGAAGGGGAAGGTGAGGAGATGGCGAGGGATTCAAAAATGATAGAAAAACTGGCCAGAGAGGCTCGCTGGAGCTTCGCATGAAGCTCGCCGGAAGCGCACCGGAAATCGCCATGCTGGAACAAAGTTGAGCCAAATCGCTCCAAAACTTCGGCTAAGGGGCGTCCAGACGTGGGAATATTGGGTCTAGTTTTGGTTTTGGGTGGCCGAAAGTCGCCAAAATCGACGGAAAATAAAGGTTTGTCGCGGTTTTCCGGCGATGTTTCAGAGAATTCCGGTGGAGATGAGGAGTGAAGTGAAGAGAAAGGGATCACGACCCCTTTATATAGCACGATCCCGAAGTTCACGGACGGGGTTTGATTTTAAAATAACTTCCCAACCGTGATCTCGGGCAAAACATCCAAAACATTCAGACACACAACTCTGGCACGGTGATCACCATTCAACCACTTGAACTCATCACTCAATCACAAAAGGGAAAATAATGAAAAGAAAACAAACCTACATTGGGTTGCCTCCCAACAAGTACTAGTTTAATGTCACTAGCTCGACATTGCGGATATTTCATGCTTGAGAGCACGAGGCCTCTGAGAGTGGATCCGCCACGGTCTCGAGGTGAGGCTTGTCACCTTCCATCTTAAGCTGTAAAAGATGGCCCTCTTGACTGGGCACTCTCGCCTTGCCCTTGTCCTTCTTTTGGATAAAGGCATGGCTCATCTTTGCACGCCACACTTTCTTCTTCCTCCCTTCGGGTTTGGTACCCGCCTTAGGTTCATGTTTCACATCATCACAAGGAACAAGAGTTTAGTGGGGTTCGCCTTGAGTGGCTCACCCCCACTTCCAAACATACCATTCGATTCCACTTCCTTAACATCATCATTCTTACTCTTAGGGTCAACCAAAAAGGTAATTCGCTCCTCTCCATCTCTCAAGATCAAAGTACTCTCATTAACATCAATTAAGGGCTTGGCGGTGGCAAGGAAAGGACGTCCTACTATGAGGGCATATCCGCATCTTCACTGATGTCAAGGATGATGAAATCCGCCGGATAATAAAATGTTCCCACCCTCAGTAGCACGTCTTCAACAATACCCCTAGGGCTAATCACCAAGCGGTAAGTCAATGTGACAATTAACCTAGTGGGTTTCAATTCACCTAGGTTCAATTTCTTGTAAAGCTTAAATGGCATGATGTTAATGTTCGTACCTAAATCCACCAAGGAATTTTCTATATTGCATGCTCCGATGCAAAGAGGGATGGTAAAACTACCTGGATCTTTTGGCTTTTTAGGAAACTTGTTCTGAATGAGGGCTCCTTGCCCAAGGTGACGGTTGCCAGGTCTTCAAACTTTTGCTTCTTCACAAGAAGCCCATTTAGGTACTTGGCGTACCTTGGCATGTACGTCATTGCCTCCAGAAAAGGAATGGTAATGTGGAGCTTCTTGAGAATCTCCACGAACTTTCCACCCTCCGCCTCCAACCGGTCCTTGTGCACTCTCGTAGGGAAAGGAAGAGGATGCTCGTACTCAGCCACTAGTGGTGGCATTGGCAACACCTTCTTAGCCTCTTCCCCCTCTCATTCCAAGAGTTCTTGATCATCAACCGTTGGAGGTGTCTTTTCTTCTTCGATTACTTCCTTAGGAACAACATCCGGAGTTACCTTCCCGCTTCTCAAGAGAATAACATTCAACCCGGCGTTTTGATCCTTGGGGTTGGCAATAGTTTGGGAAGGTCGAGCTCCCCTCGGTCTTTCAGTAAGGATCCTGGCAAGGTTACCGATTTAGGTCTCCAAATTTTGAAGACTTGCTTGATGGCTCCTTAGACCCACCTTAACTGAAGAAAACTTGCTTGTCGCTACATCCATGAATTGCTCGATCTTCTTGAACTTCTGTGAGCTTGTACTCACAAAGGCGGTAACTAGGTCTTCAAGTTTTGCAAACTTGTCGGGTTGTTGTTGTTGGAACCCTTGACCACCTTGCGCTGGGAATGGTTGTTGTAAGTTTGACCCTTGAAATTGGGGCCTTTGTAGAATGAAAGAAGGTATGCTTGATAGTTCGCCGTCGGTCCTTGGAAACCGGGGGGTCTTGGATTGCTCGAGGGAGACCAAGCGAGGTTTGTATGGTTTTTCCACCCCGGTTTGTAAGTGTTGCTATAGAGGTTGTTGTTGTTTCCCCTAGCATTGGTGATGTAGCTTACTTGTTCTTCCCGGGTATTTGCTTCCTTCATCAATTGGAACTCCGCTTGGTACTCGAACACCAATCACGCGCCATCACCGGCTTCTTCCCTTGGTTCTTATCCTCAAGAAGTGCATTGATCAACTGGTCAATCTTGGCAGCGAGCGAGGTAATCCTCTCTTGGCATCTTTTCCACCACGTCTCATCGAACCCCAATCATACCCATTTGTCGCCATATCTTAGCAAAGCAGTCATTCAAATGGGGTCTTTTTCACCAAGTTCTCTTGTCATAGATAGTGAATGGGAATCTTGTCTTCTTGAAGGAGACCGTCGTAGAAGGTTTCCATCCGAAACTGCTCTCCAAACCCATGATGTGGGCATTTGAGGAAAAAGTTGGAGTACCTCTCCCATGCATCCCTCAATGTCTCATCCTTCTCTTGAGCGAAGTGGTTGATCTTCTTGCGCCACTCCGCCATCTTGGAAGGTGGACAATATCGGGCCATGAACTTGTTAAGCAAGTCATCCCATGAGGTAATCGAGAGGGGTGATTTATTATTGAGCCACCAGAGCGCTTTCCCCGCAAGAGAGTAGGAGAAAAGCCTCAACTCCAAAGCCTTGTCGGATACCCTATTGACCTTCAAGCTTCCTGAAATCTCAATGTATCTTTAGATATGCTCCCTTGGGGACTCATCCTGAAGCCCTTGGAACTGGATGTTGTTCTTGGAGCTTGGATGAACTCCTAACTTTCTTCTCGTCTCTTGTTCGTCACTTTCTTAGAAATCTGAAGAAGAAGAAGAAGTTTTCTCACACTAGGTTCTCCCCCTTTCTCTTTCAGCTCAGCTCTCCTTTTATTCCCAGATCTACGACTTTTCACGGTCCCAGTTCCCGCCCGTGAACTATAAGCTTGGACCATGATGTTGAGCAAAAGCGCGCTGTTTCATTAACGCTCTTCACGGTCTGGAGCTAATTATCACGACCAAGTGGACGTGAACTACTAAATGCCCGCGAGATGGACGAAACCCCTCTGGACTCCACACACTTCACGATTCGCGCCTCGTCATCACGGTCTGGCTGACCGTGAACTTCTGGCCTCCACTGTGAACTCCTGTTGATTGCTCCCTTTTGATCCGTTTTCGCTCCTTTTCATCCAACTTTCTTTCCCGAGGTCGATTTCACCTGCTAGGATCTGAAACATACTAAGAACACATACAACCTAGCGTAAAACCGAAACTCACAAAGTAAAAGTGCTTCAAACATATAAGTAAAATGGGGTAAAAATGTCTACAATTAGACCCGAATCACTAGAGCGTAACCGCCAATGCTGTCAAAGCCGAGCTGGAGTATGACCCGGTAACGTGAACGGCTCGGTCATTAGTGGTCCAGCCGGCATTAGACCGTTTAAAAACCGTTTGAGAACCGGTACATTATAAACAATATAATATCATAGTAGAACACACATAAAGTAATAATTCAATGATTTAATGAGTAAAAATGATAATTACAGGTACCATTTAATAATTCTACACAACATATATATACATCAACTAAAAAAAAGTAAAAAACCCTAACCTAATCCTAAGCGACAGCGCCGCTTCCCCACCCATCACTCTCCTTCCTTCCACTTCCCCATCCCCCCTCCCTCTCTCCTTCCTCCTCTCCCACCGCCGCACCTATTTTCATTTTCAGCCACTATAGCCTTCTGCAATTCCTCAAAAATCCATCACCACATTCAATTCTTCCTCATCCTTTCTTAACCCTTAAATGCTCTTCCTCATCCCAATCCGCGAAATGGCTCGGATTCAATCCAAGCCTCTGGTGAGACAGGGCAGCTTAGCAGGGAGCTGCTTGCAACGGTGGCCACGGGATGGAAGCGCCGGGAGCATGGAGCTGCTTGCTACAACAAGGACTGGCGATGGCGATGCGATGGCGACTGCGGATGGCGATGCCGTAGGGAAGTGCCGATGCCGGGACAAGAGGTGTTGACGGCCGATTCCACGATTGGCCTTTTCTATTTTTTTTTAGGGTAAACCAAACGGCCCAACCGCACGACCGGCTTGAGCGGCTCGAGCGGTTAACCACTTCGGCTGCTGTATAAAACCGTGGCGGTTAAATAGCTAATCCGAGCCGGTTTTACGGCCGGGTGGCGGCTTTGGCGGTTCGGCCGGCCGGCTCGGTTCGACTTTGACAGCACTGGTAACCGCTTGATTGGGTACAATTTTCTCTTTCAAAAGTCAAATCTCAATGAAATTTTTAGCAAATTATTTTGACGGATACTACTGGTGAGTTGGATTTGGTCGGAACAACTCAACCAATTGCCATCAGCAGTCAGCCCATAGCCTCCGCCCTGGGCGCCACCAGAAAAGAAATTAAAAGCGGCCAAAACTCCCGCCGCCGCCAGCTCTACTTCCGGCTTATCCGCCTGCTGCGCTGTTGGTCTCTTCTCCGGGATTTTCTGTCTGGACTGGAAGTTGGAAAAGGGAAGATTCGGAGGGAATGATGGCGGGAGCCGGTAGAGCAGCAGCAATTGCGACTTGCAAGTGGTGCAGAGCAGCTGAAGCCGGAAGGCTCCAATTTACCTCCTCTTCCTTGCGTTCTTTCCGTTCTGCTTCATCTTCTTCCGTGTGCTATGCTGATTATTATTCACAGCCCAAGCTTAATCGGAGGAATAATTTGACATCAGCTCGAATCCCGCTTCGGGTGCACCTTAATTCATTTCAAGCTGATTCTGCTTCCTTCCCGCAACCGGTGGCTCTTGCTTCTCCCTCAACTTACGTTTTCCGTTTGATCAATTCATTTGCTCATTGTGGATTTGCTTTTCCTGATCTTTGTTTGCTATGAGCAGAAAAAATTAAGCTTCAATGGCCGCGTTCTCTACTCCAGCTCCTCAGCTGCTGCTGCTAGTAGTAGTACCACTCCCAACAAGAGTGTTAACGGCTCGCCACCAGTCGCTACTCCTAAACCACAGGAGGAGAAAGTCGCGGACATGAAAATCCTGCGGAGGCTAGCTACTTACTTGTGGATGAAGGATAACCTTGAATTCCGCATGAGGGTTATCGCTGCACTCACCTTTCTCGTCGGGGCTAAGGTCTTGAACGTTCAGGTGCCTTTCCTTTTCAAGCTTGCTGTTGATTGGCTGACCACTGCCACTTCCAATGTCTCCGAACTTGCTTCCTTCACGGCTGCCAATTCCACCCTCACTGTACTTTTTGCTACCCCTGCCTCTGTCCTGGTTGGGTATGGCATAGCTCGCTGCACGGGAGCTGCTTTTAATGGTACCTTACCTTTCTCTTGTTGATGATATGTGGTTCCTATGTCCATTCCAATGTCATTGCTACCTCTTGCATTGTCATAATCTTCAAGCATTCTCTTGTTTTTACGTAAGTTTCTTTTAAGCTTGTATTCTTCCTGATCTTTTTGAAATATTGAATGAATTTCTTTTGAGCCAGAGTTGAGAACTGCTGTGTTTTCTAAGGTTGCTCTCCGCACCATTCGGTTGGTATCGAGAAAGGTAACTTTTCTCTCGAGTCCCACATCATTTTCTTCTCTGTGGACAATCGTCATCACAGTGTGATAGGGACCACTGTTTTATGTGATGTTTGCTTGATTTGCTCCTCTTGGTCACCAATTGTATACTCATTTGTTCACTTTCCACTTTCCTTCGGCCACCAATTCCAGGTTTTTTCCCATTTGCATGACCTTGACCTCCGTTATCACCTCAGGTACTGGTTCCTTTGCTTGTTGGCTATCGATATGATTTGCTTTTAACATTTGAACTGCTATACATTTCTGCACTTGTCTCTCTATGTGCAGCCGAGAAACTGGAGCATTAAATAGAATAATTGATCGTGGTAGCCGCGCGATAAACTTTATCCTCTCTGCTATGGTCTTCAATGTTGTACCAACCATCATAGAGGTACTTCTATTACTTTGGCTGCTCTCTAAGTTATCCTGATCCTGGAGTATTTTGTTTCAGTAGATACATCTGTCCTTGTTAGTGTTGATGTGAGCTTGTGCTAGTAACGAATTCTTTAGATTTTTAGTCAAAACGTATCATGTGCTTTGGCACTCCATCCCTGCAATTGTTTACTTATTTCTTGGCGATGAACATACACTCAACTTGCATTTTCTTTCAGATATCTATGGTGTCAGGTATCCTGGCCTACAACTTTGGTGCACCTTTTGCATGGATCACTTCACTCTCTGTTGCTGCATATATTGCTTTCACATTGTCAGTGACACAGGTATCATAATCTTCATTGTGTTGTGAACATATAAAATTGGTAGTCTATCATTCCAGCTATTCCATCTTGGATTAGTAGACTTGCTTTAGCTAAATTTTATTGTATTGTGGGAAGCCGCAATATTTCTTCTGATTTAAGCTTCCACGGATGTGAAGCCTTTACCGGAAGCCTCTTTGTCTTTCTTGTTGTTTCACCTCTTTATCTATTCTCAAGCGACTGAAGCTTATGCTGTCACTTCTTTTGAACTGCTACTCATTCTAGTGGAGAACAAAGTTTAGGAAGGCCATGAATAAGGCTGACAATGATGCTGGCACCAGGGCAGTTGATTCTCTTATCAATTATGAGGTGAGAACATGTTGCTAGAACTATTCCATTAAAATTTCATTTTTCCCTAACATTTGTTGTTTGCATGTGTATGATCTCTTTCCCTTTCCAGACAGTCAAGTATTTCAACAACGAAGCTTATGAAACTGATAAATATGATGAATTCTTAAAAAGTAAGTTCTTTAGTTATTAGCTTGAAGTCAAATACTCGTGGTTTTAATCGGGTTTGTCAACAAGATTAGTTAAAACGGTTGCGTAAGTAAGGTGTGCATGTGTGCAAGTGCTTGGCTACAAACTCGATATAGCTTGTCTCCTACACATCCTTGGACAAAACTTCAAGTATTTTCTGCTCTTCTAGTGGTCATGCAACTTGTTAGTCTGATGCTAATAATTAAAATGCTTTTGTGCTCACGTAGCCACACTTTTCCTATCACCTATATCTTCTTATGTCTTTTCTGAAATTTTCCTGCTTTCTAGGATATGAAGATGCTGCCTTAAAAACACAACGGAGTCTTGCTTGGCTTAATTTTGGCCAGAATGCAATATTCAGCACAGCTCTATCAACAGCTATGGTTCTTTGTTCACATGGGATTTTGGAAGGCAGGATGACTGTTGGTGATTTGGTAAATCTTACCATATCCACTTGTTTATATTATTCTCATTTCATCATATGGTGCTCTCACAATGACACTGCAGTTTTAATACAAAAAACACAGGTTATGGTGAATGGGCTGCTTTTCCAGCTATCTCTTCCACTTAATTTCCTAGGCAGCGTTTATCGTGAAACTGTGCAGAGCTTAGTTGACATGAAGTCATTGTTTCAACTGCTTGAGGTATATTTTTTTAACATTTTATAACAACTTGGATTCAGATCAGTTATAAGTATCTTCCATCCCAATTGTTATAGCTATCAGTTTTTTGTAACTGGGCTACCAAGTTTAAACACTAGATCGAAATGGTCAAACTAATTACGCTTGAGAGGCTAGATAGTTCCTCTGCATCAGTTTGATCGTAGCAGTATTATATGATATTGGTAATACTTTGTTTCTGTACAATATCCTGTATTAGACTATTTATGGTATTTTTTTATTGATTTGATGAAAAGCAAAGAATGACCAGTACATATTTTAATGATGGATTTCCTCAGGTGACAGCTGAGATTACTGATAAAGAAGGTGCAAAACCGTTGAAGTTAAATGGCGGTAGCATACATTTTGACCGTGTGACCTTCAGGTACTATGGTTCTTCCATGATTAGAAGTTCAGGAATCTCTTGTTGAACTGTAACAAAAACATTAGAGCAAGTGACATTAGCAGCAAAATAAATTTTTTGTCGCACACGATATACTTCGCTTTGTCCAAATAGCTTCTCCAGTGGCATAACATGAAAACATTAGTTTCTGTTTTACTTGTTTCCCTATTATGTGTTTTTGGTTAAGATTCTGCATGTTCTCTTTAAAGCTTTTGAGCCTTTTCTTTGTTTTAGCGTTCAGGATTCATTGTGGTAAAATCGATTCCATGTTTTTTGTTATGTTCTCATGGTTTTTTATTTAGAAAGTTCCATCTGGTAATGTGCACTTATATTAAGCCTAAAGTCAAATGCTCTTTGTTATCAATTAGGATTGGTTGGTTGGTTCTATCTTCAAAGTGATAGTTCCACTTATGTTACTCTCTGTTAGTTCGATGGAAACCTGTTAAAGTGAATGAACTTCTTCTTTTTTGTGGAGAGAATATATAAACTTCTAGTTGAAGCTAATGTCCTGTCCTTCCACTCCAATCTGCATCGACTTTCAAACGAAAAAGTCTTTTATTGTTGTAGAACTTCACATCAAGAGTTTATGGGTTTCCTGAATTAGTGGTCTTGTAATTTCTTGGTTTGAGCATTTTGTATGTAGTTGAAATGGTTTAATTACTCTGTGATGGGCACTTTATGGCCAAAGAAAGTTTGAAACTTGTTTATATCTCAGTTGATGACGTAGGTGTATAGTATACTACTACAACTGATTTTGTTTTACAATGCTCTTTGTTTGTGGTCCTGAATGTATTATCAGCTACCTACCTGAAAGGAAGATTCTCGATGGTGTATCTTTTATAGTACCAGCTGGAAAAAGTGTGGCCATTGTGGGAACAAGCGGAAGTGGTGAGATTTTAGTTCCATTCATATATATATTTGTTCTTTTAATTAAATGTGTGATTCTGTATATTTGGATTTTGGTTGAACTGTTGATGGGCTATTTTCTCTTTTACCATCTTACCCATTCACTTCGTCATTTTTGTCATGCTTTGTTCATTGAGGACAATTTGATGTCCTAAATGTCTTTTGACTGATGATGCAAATTCAGTCATTATGTTCCAGGACATGTAATCTTGTTACGAATGTGAAGTGTAGGACATTGTGAGGACCATAGTGCCTCTCAACCTTACGGTGACCTTAGGAACTGTGTTCATTTTGTCTGATCTAAATTTAAGAATCTTGTTTGTACTCCAAAAATAGGACCAATTAGATTTTCTTTAAGGAGTTGAAATTTAAGTTTTGGGAGAATGAGAAAGATTAGAATTTGGTAACGCTTAGTGGGTATTTAGCTTTCTAAATTAAAATATTGAAGGATATAGGAAAAAAAGATTAGAGGGGTATCCTTTCTCCATTTATACTCGTATTCATCAATTGGTGGGTGAAATATTTTGTGCTTTGTTAAAGTTACTATTTTGTTAATACATATACTTCTAAACTTGTAGAAACCTTTCTAATGTTTGAACTTATTTTATTTTAAGTTTTAGTCGCTGAAGTTGAAACTTTGAGCTTAGATTAGGTTGGAAAATTCAATTCCAATGTTTTCAAGTCTTCAGCGTCCTATCCTTTTTTCCAATTGTTATCTGCTACTAACTACGAGAAACCTAAAGCTTATCCGTCCCCTAATGTAGGAGTGGTGCCACATTTACCGATGGTTATGGAAACTACTTGGCCAGCTGTATGCTCGTAAATCCAAAACTTATTAAAATCCCATCAGCCTTCAATACATGTGAAACGTAATCTAATAAGGTCCTAAAATGTGAAAACCTAAATAAGGATGAAAGTGACACTCATTAAGGTGGGAAAGTAATCCACATAAAGTTCCGAGAGTTGGAAATCGAATGGTTGTGTTTTAATTTACTTAATGTGCCTTAATAGTTGACAGATGTGCAACTGTGCTTTCTTATAGAGAAAATATGCATCCTCATGATTTTCAGGCAACAACTGTTATAATGGTCACAGAAGCTTGCACACTGTGCTGTGCGCCAATGTAGGACACTTATGTTTCTGTTTTGTTCTATGCAGGCAAGTCTACCATTCTTAGACTAATCTTCAGATTTTTCGACACCCATGCTGGAAGTGTAAGAGCTGAAATTTTCTTTCTGATAAATGTACATTGAATTTACCTACAACATCCTTAACGTTTTAGGAAATAAGACAGGAAGGAAAAAGAAATTGGCTCGTCTTATATCTAAATTCACAGATAGCAGAAGAAGGTTTTTGAAGCAGTTAACAAAAAGTAAAACTGCAATTGATCATAATGACAAAAAATATATTCCTTCGATAACTGCTCCTAAAGCATAGAAATCTGGATTGAACTCTTGTAAAAGACTTGGCAGAAGGTTTCTCCCCTATTTCTTTGGCTTTTTTTGCTTTTATCTTTGATGAGTTTTCTCCTGTTGAAGTCCGATAGTTTACCACTGCTACTGGGGTTGTCCCTGTAATAAGACTAGAACTTTGAAATTGGTTCTTCCCAGATACGAATTGATGGCCAGGACATACGGGATATTGAATTAGATACTCTACGGAGCTCTGTTGGTGTTGTGCCACAAGATACTGTAAGTTAGTTGAAGCAGCTAAATTTTGTCCATATACCTCTGTGGTGTGAACTAATGGAATTCTTCTCTTCTATATTACAACTTATATTGTTGATCAGCTGGGTTGTGTTTCTCCATTTACAGGTACTTTTTAATGATACAATATACCACAACATCCATTATGGTCGTCTTTCAGCAAGTGAAGACGAGGTGAGTATCTTATTCCGAGGATCATAAAATGGTCAACTTATTAGCTTCGCTGTTCTGAGGACCATGATCTGGTGAGCTGGGTTCTCTTTCTCCATTTACAACTGTTCACATTCAGGTTTATGATGCTGCTCGGCGTGCATCCATTCACGATACTATTATGAACTTCCCTGAGAAATACTCAACTGTGGTTGGAGAACGCGGGCTTAAGGTGAGAAGTCACTTGCTGTTAACTTAATCATGCTCTGCTTGTCCCTTCTATCGTCTTCCCAGTAAAGTTGCACATTTTACTAAATCTCTGTGAGATTGGTGGAATGTTATGTGCTTTCAAGTTTTTTTTTTTTTTTTTTTTTTGTCATTGGTTTATTCCTGGTCATTGTGATCCATTAAAAAAGAGTACTTATTCTTATAAGTTTGTAGCTGATTGTCTATACTTTTTTAAACCAGCATAGATTATTTTGACTGTCCATATTCTTGAATTGAGATTGATTGGGGTGCCTTTCTGTTCAGTTAAGTGGTGGTGAAAAGCAGCGGGTTGCTTTGGCTCGTGCATTCCTGAAAGCGCCGCCAATTCTGTAAGAACACAATTGTATAAGTTTTGCGACATTGAGTAAGCTGCTTCTTCTCGTAGTAGTTGCACCTGATGCCAACTCTCCATCTCAAAAATGAAAAAGTAGAACAATACCATTTAATAGGTCCTTGTGTTACTAAATTTATTTTCCTTTCCACAGTCTCAAGACTGTAATCAGCCAAAAGTTCTGGCTTATTTAGGTCATTCTTCTCTGTTATAGTTTTTTTTTACCTGAAATTGACTGTGAAGAAGTGAAATCTGAAGTTACTATAAATCACAAAGTAGTGTTGGTACTTACAGAGGGAAGACATTTTGTTTATTATAAGCCATCAGCTGCATGTATGTTGGCTTTAGACGATCCTGTCCCTTTTCCTGGTACACCCCAAGAGGAATTATGCAGAAAGTTAATATATTTTGTGTTTACCTATCTGTTTGTTCCAAGTTCTAGTACGTGGTTTCAGTTTTGCTGTTTTTTGGTGGGAAGTATATGCTACTTTCAAATGATCAAAGCAGTACTTGACCGTAAGAAAGACTGCATCCGCCTATGGAACATCCACGGCTTGTGTTTAGCTGTAAAACTTGAATCCTGAACAAGGATGATAAAGAACCCCTTGGCTACTAAGATTCCATTCCTTCATGGAAAAGAGGGACTCCAATTTGACATTTCCACCCGACGTCTTTGTTATTTGCAGAATTCATATTTTAATTGATTTGGCAATTGCTGCAATTAAGTCTAAGTTCCTTGTGCTAATATCTCAGGCTGTGTGATGAGGCAACAAGTGCACTTGACAGCACGACAGAGGCTGAGATACTAACTGCGCTCAAGTCATTAGCCGATAATCGTACTTCAGTTTTTATTGCCCATAGACTTACTACTGCAATGCAATGTGATGAGGTACGCATTTGTCTCCAATCTAACATGGTGCTGAAATTTAAGTGTCGGCTAAACTGCTTGCCATCATTCTCTTTCCCAGTAGTTGAACATATTCTTTCCACCTTTTTGGATCCTCTGCTTAGTACTGTACCCCTTCTCACCACAAAAACATCATTTTATCATTTGAAAGTGAAAACTGGTAATATCTTACTTCAAAGCAGAATATAATCAAATCATGTAACGATCCTGTTTGAACAGTTTAAAACTTTGGGTCGATGTTTCACTTTAGTGGGGAACAAATGATTTTCCACCTCTAATGACAATGTTAATGCTGCAAACTTATATCATAACTCTGACTCTGCTTGAAAAGTAACATAGTGGTTGAGTTCGTCAAGAGGGATGGACTGTTATCCTAAATATTGACTGCTTGGGCGTTTGTAGGTACCATTGTAAATGTTACTAATATAGTCGTCACCAATATAGCACAAGTTGAAATTCAATTGTGCAATGCATGTATCTTGAGCTTCCAAGTGATCTGTAGTATAAATAATAATTACAAGCTTGTCATGGAGGAGAAATTTAAATGTCATCTGAGCCAAAGGGATATTTCCTGTTGTCCTTGTCTATAATATCCTCCAAAATGTATAGTTTCATTCCAACTATGGGTTATTAGCACAGCAGCAATAAGTTACGTCTGCTGTTGCTTTCACTTACTGTGTATGATTTCTTTTGTCCATTTGATTATGGTTTCCAGATAATAGTTTTGGAGAATGGAAAGGTGGTTGAACAGGGACCACATGAAGTCCTCTTGACCAACGCGGGGAGATATGCGCAGCTATGGGGACAGCAAAATAATACTGTGGATGTCAATGATTCAGCAGTCAAGCTGGGGGCATGATCGTCTCTTTGCGTGCCATTTTAGTCCTGCTTGCGTGTAGGAGGCTAGTGAAGCAAAATGTAGTTCTCTTCATATATATTACTGAGCAAACATTGATAGAAAAAAAACTGCAGAGCAGTGGTTGACGGCATCATGATTTGTGGTGAGTGAATGTGTACTAAGGCAACATGACAATTATGAGAAGAAACCAATGCCATGCTTATATTATAGATGTGTGCCACTGGAATCATGTTGAGATATGTATTTGCCAATCACAAACATAAAGAGCCACGAGAAACTGCTGGGTCAATTTTCTACATTAATGCCTAACTTCTTTTGCTTAGAGTAACGAAGGACTCATTGCTGACGATGATTTCTCTTGTACTATTGATTGTGCATATTCGAATAAGAATACCAGCTTTCTGGACCACTAATCTATACGTGGATGTGTTGAAGTTGGGAAAGTTCAGGTTTGGTAATGCATTTGTTGGGTTCGTCTTTCTGGTGAGTGCCACATGTTTTGAGATTCGGATGCATAATTAGCCTGTGTTGCATGCAGGCATTTTGCTGAGACATATTCATGTATGTTTGTAGTACATTGTTGTCATTTGGTTTGCTTGCATTCTGCTCTTTCCTGAGAATTTGTGCTCTTATGCAATTGCTTTACATGGAAGTTTTTTAATATGTTTGAGCTGACCTAAGTTACTTTGTCATATAGATGAAGCCTTTCCTACTGTACTTACATTGTTCCAGATGTGCAATTTCTGCTGAAAAGGGAGTCAATAAGTAATGGAATCACCGTACAGTTGTCGAGTTGATTGCACCACGTAACAGCCTGATTATCGACACGGATTCTGAGTGTCTTAATCCATATGAGCGTTTTGATTTATAAGAGACTGTTTTGATTATTGCTATCAGATCTGTTTTGAAAAGAGAATTGGGTTTCTGCGATTTTCAAGACATCAAGGTTGCAGACGCTCAGTTGCTTGTAAGTGTCTTCTATCAGTTGCTAGATGCTCAGTTACTCTCTAAGGATTTCCCTCTCTGATAGGTTGTTGATTTCGTTTCCTTTCGGGCTCTGTGTATTCAACTAATTGTTTTAAGAAGTATCTTCATTCTTGGATATCTTCTTGCTATAGGTCAGTCGATTCATGCGTTAGCTACATTAGGTGCCGTGCAGAATGTTCTGGTTTGGGATATCTTTGTATTTGCTTTCTCTAGACGCTTTTTGTTTTCAATGTCCATCTTTAGTAGGATAATAAGTACCTTTCCTTTCCGAGGTAGCGTGATTTACTAACTATTTCAATTTCAATTGACATCCTTACTTAATATCTTCTCATGGCATAGGTAATTGGTTAACCTGCAGTAGGTCCAGTTTTCTTTTCTGGATACACTTGCATTGTATTATTTGATTATATGTGGCGTTTTCTGCAGTTTGCATGCTTGTATTTGAAGTCATTCTGAACTCCTTGGCGAGATTTTGCATGTGGTGAATGGTCTTGGGTCGTGTTTGGAGGACTGAACCTGCAGGGGTTGGAGGTATTTTGGGTAAGTGATCAATAGATTTCAACAGGGACTTATGTGTTAAGGACATGGTGACTGCACCATAAGGCTCCGACCAGCTATCACCTGGGCTGTCATTTAGTTCTCTGGTTCACATTTGAGAAAAAATGTTGAACCAGGTGGCATGCAGTGGAAATGTAGTCTGCTTTTGGACGGTGGATTGTAGCAAGTAATAGGCTCTACTTCAATCACAATCCTTCAGAAAGCCTACACCAAACAATCTTTGCATAGGTTGCTTTTGGATTGAAATAAGCACCACCAGCTGCTGGAAGAGTAAAGCTGCAGTTCCAAACAATCCTTCAGAAAGCCTACACCAAACAAAGGAGCATTGGAGTTTATCCTTGACGTACATCAGCGGTAATTGCGTTTGCCTGAGTCTACTGTACTCTGGATCCCATTTACATTCAATGCAAAAGCAAAGTACTTTAATCAGCTTGTGTGACACAGGAGAGACGTTCAAGAGTTATATGCAGAGCCGTTGACCCTACAGAGGTTGGTAGTTGGGCCTCATTCACACATTGCAGCAAGACAATTTTCTTTTTCTCATGCCCCTTGCTGGTATATTCCTCTCATTTTAAGGTGGCTGGCTATTACGATGTTGTCAAGGAGCCAATGGATTTTGGAACAATGAGGGCTAAACTTCAGGAAGAAATGTATACAAGCTTGGAACAATTTGAGGTTTTTCTTGGAACCCAAACATAAGTATTTATGTTCTTGTGTTTGCGAAAGTTTCTAGCTTGTTTCATGTTTCCCTACACATCCCATATCAATGCAACTTGTTTCCTTATGTACCTTTTAATACCAAACTTATTATTTCCAAGTTGACAACAAATAAAAAGAATATACGTTTTATACTTCATCACTATATTCTAAATCAGAGGTTTTAGCATCTGAACCCTCCTCTATGGGAATCAGAATAGCTATGTGAAAAAGTCATGATCTTCAAGTCATATTTGTCCTCTTCATGGAACTAAACAGCAGGTGCAAAATAACGCGAGCTGTTTATTCCATGAGAAAAGCCACTATTTACTAAGTTTATGCCTTCCCACTGAGTCATTACCATGAGATGGTTTCTGATATTCTGCATGAACTCTTTCTGCAGCGTGATGTGTTCCTGGTATTCAATAATGCTATGAGATTCAACATGTCGAATTCGGTATATTATGAAGTGGTCAGCTTTCTGATTCTTGCTAAGGGGTGATGGTGTTCAGTTACCAAGAAGTTAATAATCCAAGTGAATTGACAAATATGTTACTTCAGGCAGAAGATCTCAGTATACTGGGGCGGCAGCTTTTCCCTTCTCTTAGAACTGAACCAAGGAATTTCAACTACATTTACCCACGGACCATGCAGCAGATGTCCAATGAAGCGCAAGGTGAAGCCGGAGGTCCACGTGCTAAGCTAGTGAAAAGTGGTGGTGCCACAGGTGGTGTTTCCTGTAAATGACTCTTTCAACAGGACTGATCAGAGGTATCTTTCTCCATGGAACTCAAAACGATACATCAATAGGCTGACTAGCAAAGTTACTGCAGGTATGAGAATGAGATAAGCTAGTACTTGGCACCAAATAACTGCATTATTGCTCCTCTAAACTTTCATCCTACGAGGACTTCAACTGTTATGAATGACCATTGATATTTTGATTCCCAAAAGAACAGGTGTTTTATTATATACTAAACAAGTCAGATTTGAGGTATATGCTTTAGGCCACAATCAACTCAAAGAAATCAAAGAGAATTACACCTTACTAAGTGCCAATTTTCCTCATCGACTATAAAGGTTTTATCTGTGATATGAATCACTTAAATCCAGAAAAACAGTTCTGTTAACTCTTTCAAATGATTTTTAAGTTTGGTTATCTGAACCTTGTGAAAACAGATGCTGGCTGGAAGGAATCTCTTAGTTGTTACTAGTTCTACCTGTGCAATTTTATGCCTGACCAAGTTGGCTGTGGTTTTACATCTGTATATGAATCATTTAAATCCAGGACAAGATTCCTCTTTGCCCTTTCAAATAGTTTTTAAATTTTCTTGTTTGGTTATCTGAACCTTATGAAGAAAAGATGCTTGCTGGAAGGGAGGCTTTTAGTTGTTACTAAGTTTGGCGCTGTGCACTTTTATTCCTGATCCAAGTTGACACTTGACAGTGGTTTTACATCTGTTTTCACTTATAGGAAGTTTAGGCTGACAAAGCTGAGACAGAGCTCAGAGTTTGTTCTAATGCTAAAGCTCCTTGCTAGATAACTACATAAAGAAAGCAGGCTGAAAGCTTTACTTCGGAAATAAAATAGAACAAATAGAATAATTCAGGAATGGTTGGAGTTTCTATTGGTAGCCTCTGTACAGAATGGTTGGAGTTTCAAAAAATTTTAGTGAAAAAATTTCTATCTTTCTCGTTATCAACTTCATACAATATTATACCACCTTGGTATGAGGTGATATTTTTCATATCATATGGTATGCTCTTATTTAATATCAGTCAATACCATATGATATAGACGGGTAAAAAATTACTCATATTTTTTTATTCCAAAAATATATCAAAGTGGATATCATTTTGAAGAGCACAATTAATCTGATCTAACTGTGCAAAAAAATTAAAATTCGACTTAAACAAGTGAGAACTGAGAAATAGTCCATTTTAGATTAGGAGGGGGAAAATTAACTGAATTTCTATTTAACGCCCTAAGTTTTTGAATTTTTCGCCCTAACAATACTAAACTGACCCCTTTACCCCTATTCTTGATTAGTAAATGAAGAACCTAAACATATCCCTACCGCCTACTCCAACCCCGCTGGCAGACGTCCACGCCCCTGTTTTGTGCTCCGCCAACCTCCCGGTCGCCGTCCACCCCAACCCGTCCCGACGCCGCTGGCCGGCCGCCTCCCACCTCAACTGATCTCCGCTGAACCCAGCCGCCAAGCTCTGTTGAGAAGGAAACTCTTCCCCTTCCAGAAGGGAGGAAAGCTCTACATGCTTTTCCAACTAATCTAAGCTAATAATTCATGGATTTAAAGAAATGTATACACCCACTCATAAGATCTCATGGCAGATAAAATCATATATCATGGCCTCAATTGATTTGTGAAAAAAGTACCGTGAAGCAAGGTCATCCCACGTTAAAGAACTCTTCTCTTCCCGATCGAGAAGGAAGGAAGAAGAATGCCGGAAACCTCCCGCCTGCGGCCGGAAGGGTTGAAAACTCGTCTCTGCGGCGGTTGGGACGGGAGTACGATCTATCCATCACCGTCGGTGGCGGATTTTCAACCCGTCCGGCCCACAAGGGAAGCAGGTAGGCGACACGTCCGACGGCAGGTTTGAGCTGGCAATGAGCCCGTAAGGCGGCAGATGAAACCGAAAAGCAGGGGAGGGAGATTTTTCGGAATTAGCTTAATTAAGACTAGGGGTAGAATAGTCCTTTCGTGGTAGTTTAGGGCGAATTTTTTAAATTGTTAGGGTGTTAAATAGTAACTCCCATTAACCGAAGGCTTTTTAGGAGAGAGAAGAGACGTTGATGTGACGGAATCTGATTGGATTCTGCATAGTTATTGACCACAATATTATGCACCTGATCCACTCCTCAATAACAGCATGCATAACCCAATGAGAATAAGTCACATCAGCGCCTCTTATCTCTCTTGGATAATCATTTTATTTTCCCTCCTTTAATCTGTAACGGATGATTTCTCACTCGTTTTAAGTCGGGATTTAATTTTTTTTGCACAGTTAGATCAGATTAATTGTGCTCTTCAAAATGATATGGACTTTGATATTTTTTGGAATAAAAAAATTTGAGACAGTTATTACCATTCTATACAATATGGTATTGACTGGTATTAAATAAGAGCATACCATATAGTATGAAAAATATCACCCCGTACCAAGGTGGTATAATATAGTATGGAGTTGGTAACGAGAGGTATGAAATTTTTTCACCCATAAAATTTTGAAATCCAATAGATCATGATTAAATTGTTCCTTCCGTGCAAAAATTTCTGA